AGGGAGCTGAAGAGGAAGCACACAGAGAGTGCTCCCTCGCGCCGGCCGGGTGTCAGCAGGGCCAGCCTCTGGGGGGGCCCTGAGGTGACCGGCTGCTGGGCCCCCCAGGAGAAGAGGCTGGCCCTGTGGGTACATACCGGGTCGCAGGACCCCCTGCGACCCGGTATGTACCCACTGCATGAGGGGGCCCGGACTGCTCAGGTTGTCATGCCCTGATGGCGGCCCTGGTTACAGTAACAATAGGTTGATAAGGATCCTGCTTGAAAGAGCTTACAATTTAATTGCTGCAGGTTTATTCACTAGACTGGAAATCAATTAACCTGGTTACATCCCATTGGCTTTTAAACAGACAACAGGTCCTGCTACTTCCTGCTTTTGTTAGATCATTGGACCTAAACTCAAAAAGCAGCAATTGCTCAAAGCACCTGCCTTGCAAAGGCTTCTCATTGAGCTGCATTGGAATGTCTGTGATTGGACAGCTACAAAAAGTCTCAGTGGAGTTAAAAGGGGAGGACTTGCAAAGGCTGCAGACAAGAGAACTGCAGGTTTTGCAAGCTATTTTTAGATATACCCACAATAAAAAAAAAAAAATAATAATAATTAAATACAATTTTCATTGGGGGGTATATCTGCTAAACAGTAATTTTCATTCATTTTGTATTTGGGTAGTGGAGTGTCCTTTTCACCCCTTCCTGGCCTTCGGACGTGCAGGTAACGTCCTACAAAAAACGGCAGTTAATGAACGTGGACGTACCCTGCACGTCCATGGCTAAAATGACCCGTGTACTCACCTGGACCGGCAATCCGTGGTAATCCCAGTGGTCGGGGGATGGGGACTGTCTGAGACCCCAGCAGTCCACCTGCAGCATTTCCAGACCTACAGGGCCATGTGATCACCATGATCACATGGCCCCAATAGCAGTCTATGGAGCTGCCAGCAGGGGGACTGTCTGAGCAATCAGGCAGTCCTCCTGACACCTAAAAGTGTAAAGCAAAAATGATCAAATAAATATATTCTATATATATTATATATGTATAATATATTATTAAATAATTTAAGAAATTTATAATATATTATACATGTATAATGCATGTATATGATTGCATTATAAGTGTACTTTGAGATATATACACATATCTCAAAATACACTTATAATGTAAGCATATATATGCATTATATATGTATAATATATTATAAAATGCTTTAATTATTTTATAATATATTATACATATATAGGAACTAAAAACGTGTGTGTGTGTGTATGTATATATACATACACACACACAAATTATATGTCTATCTATATATATATATATATATACAGGGAGTGCAGAATTATTAGGCAAATGAGTATTTTGACCACATCATCCTCTTTATGCATGTTGTCTTACTCCAAGCTGTATAGGCTCAAAAGCCTACTACCAATTAAGCATATTAGGTGATGTGCATCTCTGTAATGAGAAGAGGTGTGGTCTAATGACATCAACACCCTATATCAGGTGTGCATAATTATTAGGCAACTTCCTTTCCTTTGGCAAAATGGGTCAAAAGAAGGACTTGACAGGCTCAGAAAAGTCAAAAATAGTGAGATATCTTGCAGAGGGATGCAGCACTCTTAAAATTGCAAAGCTTCTGAAGCGTGATCATCGAACAATCAAGCGTTTCATTCAAAATAGTCAACAGGGTCGCAAGAAGCGTGTGGAAAACCAAGGCGCAAAATAACTGCCCATGAACTGAGAAAAGTCAAGCGTGCAGCTGCCACGATGCCACTTGCCACCAGTTTGGCCATATTTCAGAGCTGCAACATCACTGGAGTGCCCAAAAGCACAAGGTGTGCAATACCCAGAGACAGGCCAAGGTAAGAAAGGCTGAAAGACGACCACCAGTGAACAAGACACACAAGCTGAAACGTCAAGACTGGGCCAAGAAATATCTCAAGACTGATTTTTCTAAGGTTTTATGGACTGATGAAATGAGAGTGAGTCTTGATGGGCCAGATGGATGGGCCCGTGGCTGGATTGGTAAAGGCAGAGAGCTCCAGTCCGACTCAGACGCCAGCAAGGTGGAGGTGGAGTACTGGTTTGGGCTGGTATCATCAAAGATGAGCTTGTGGGGCCTTTTCGGGTTGAGGATGGAGTCAAGCTCAACTCCCAGTCCTACTGCCAGTTCCTGGAAGACACCTTCTTCAAGCAGTGGTACAGGAAGAAGTCTGCATCCTTCAAGAAAAACATGATTTTCATGCAGGACAATGCTCCATCACACGCGTCCAAGTACTCCACAGCGTGGCTGGCAAGAAAGGGTATAAAAGAAGAAAATCTAATGACATGGCCTCCTTGTTCACCTGATCTGAACCCCATTGAGAACCTGTGGTCCATCATCAAATGTGAGATTTACAAGGAGGGAAAACAGTACACCTCTCTGAACAGTGTCTGGGAGGCTGTGGTTGCTGCTGCACGCAATGTTGATGGTGAACAGATCAAAACACTGACAGAATCCATGGATGGCAGGCTTTTGAGTGTCCTTGCAAAGAAAGGTGGCTATATTGGTCACTGATTTGTTTTTGTTTTGTTTTTGAATGTCAGAAATGTATATTTGTGAATGTTGAGATGTTATATTGGTTTCACTGGTAATAATAAATAATTAAAATGGGTATATATTTGTTTTTTGTTAAGTTGCCTAATAATTATGCACAGTAATAGTCACCTGCACACACAGATATCCCCCTAACATAGCTATAACTAAAATCAAACTAAAAACTACTTCCAAAAATATTCAGCTTTGATATTAATGAGTTTTTTGGGTTCATTGAGAACATGGTTGTTGTTGTTCAATAATAAAATTAATCCTCAAAAATACAACTTGCCTAATAATTCTGCACTCCCTGTATATATATATATATATATATATATATATATATATATATATATATATATATATATATATATATATATATATATAAAAATAAATGTTTTTTTATTTTTATTTATAATATATATATATATATATATATATATATATATATATAAGGCTGAGCCTGTGGGTGAAGCCTAGAATTGTGGGAGAGGTTAGTTTTCCTGTAAATATACAGGCTTCCCTTTACTCTGTGCTGTTGCTTCCTGGTTCAGCTCATCCACCACTCCCTTTATCAAACCATTCAATTTGGTTGGCCCTCTTCTTACAGGCCTACCCAAACATCAGTTCCCACACACCACAACCGACTTATGCCACTACTACTATAACTCGGCTTATTGTCCCTGACCACAAATATATATACGTGTATGTGTGTATATATATATATAACAAGAGAAATCTAGTGTCACAACTGGAAATAAATGGACTACAGAAGAAATTAACTATACACCATGAGGAGGAAGAAATTCCCGTTGCAGAGAATTGTCAACGGTTGAATTGTCAACCTGAATCCATACCCCAAGATGTCATAACAGATATAAGGGAAATGATCCTAGAAAAACTAGCAATCGTTAACCTGCGGACAAGACTACCGAAGATCACTGGAAAGCAACCACCAGACAGCATACTAGCTGCAGTTAATGAAGCAATGTCCACAATCCCACCCTGCACCATCACAGAAACGAACAGGCTTATATATGCCACAGCATTAGTGGTCCTCCAGCTACTTAACTACAAGATCAGGCTAAAAGAGAAGCAATGCCCACCATGGAGACTATGACTGGAAGCCAAGAGAAAGACAGCACAGAAGGAAGTTAGTAAGCTGGATCAACTTAACAGAGGTGGAAAGATCAAAGATTGATCCTGGCTGCTGCGAAAGTACAAGGATATGCCCATACCAAAGTTGCTGGAAACAGCTAAGTAAAGACTGACAGCACTGGCAACCAGTCTGAGCAGATACACCAGAGAAGAAGAGAATCAATGCCTTCTTAAATAAAGAACCATCCAAGGTGTATGCCCAGCTACAGGGTGACCACCACATCTCCTTCGCAAGACCCACCCAGAACTGAGACTGAACAGTACTGGAAAAATATATGGGAGCAAGAAGCATCTCATAACACCGAGGCCCAGTGGCCACTAGACCTGAAAGCGGACCACTGCATGCTGCCAGAACAGGAACCAGTCATCATCACAGTCAAAGATATCCAACAGAGAGCAGCACACATGAAGAGCTGGTCAGCCCCAGGACCTGACATGATCCACAACTACTGGGTAAAGAAGTTAACAGCACTGCATGAACACCAAGCAGCACAAATGAACCAGCTACTAGCAACAGGCTCCCACCCTGAATAGCTAACACAGGGCAGAACAATACTGGTCATGAAGGACCTTGACAAGGGAACAGTACCATCCAACTACCGACCAATAACGTGCCTCCCCACAACATGGAAACTCCTGTTAGGCATCATTGTATCCAAGATCCAAGGGCATATGGGTCAATATATGAGCAATACTCAGAAGGGGATTGGAAACAACACCAGAGGATCAAAACACCAACTACTGGTAGACCAAGCAGTCACAAGGGATTCTAAGACCATACAGACCAATCTGTGCACGGCCTGGAATGACTACAAGAAAGCCACCTGGTCCTTGTTTAGCACCTATTTAGTTTGGGTTCTCCCCTCACTCCTGGCCAGATCATTGCAGTTTGTTTCCTGTTTCCCTGGTTTCCTGTGTTCCTGGCTCCTGCGTGCTGTAACTTGGTCCTGTGTCCTGTGTCTCCTGGTCTTCATCCTGTGTCCTCCTGATCCTGCGTTATTGTGTCCTCCTGGTCCTTCGTTGTTGTGTCCTCCGGTCCTCTGTTCTGGTTCCGTGGTCCCGGCTTTACTACCAGTGATCCTGTCCCTGCAGACTGCAGATGTCCCTATATTAGTCTTGTGACTCTGGATCTGTGCCCTACCTGTTACTCGTGGTAGCTGCACAATCCTACCCTTATACCCAAGGACTGTTACAGTATTTGTTGCCTGCATGATTAGTACTAATTTTGATTTACTGTATATATTTTGTGGCCTTGTGTGTGTAAAGAACTACCTCAAGCTGAGCTCACAAGTGAAGAAGAGAATGATTTAAGTAACCAGGTATCTCTAGCCGTTACAGAATTATATCAATTTGAGAGAGAATCGTCCCTGCTTCGGCTGGCCCCATGCTCCGAGATATTGGGGGAACCGTTCCTTGATGCATATCTGCGGTCTGAGGAGGAGGGCACGCAGAGTGCTCCTGATCCTGTACTCGCTGGTTTAGGGGATTCTCCTCGATTGATTCCAGTTGTATCTACCCAAGATAATGCAGAGACTGTTCTCCCTTCTACAGAAGTTGCATCGTAGTCTTTGTTCCGAGGATCTTACAAGCCAGAAACCAAGTCAGACCCAGGACTTCTGAGTGATGCACCTGTTACCAGCAATAGTCCCAGATCTAGTGGGTTAGCACATTTGTCGATCACTGGTAAGGAGTGTTTCTTATCGTATGTGCCTTTAATTTCTGTTTATGTGTCTGCCCTTCTAATGCTAAATGTTACTCTACAGTCCTTGCTCTTGTATGTTTCTATTCTGCCTCGTTTGTTTCTCCCGTCGGATTCTCCGCCTCTTATTCCTCCTGAACCTCCTCCTTGTTTTCCTCTACTGGTTGGGTGACCCTGTTTTTCTTCTGTCACCCGTGGGGGATCTAGTTGTTTTGGAGCGCCAGGAGTCGCTCCTTAAGGGGGGGGGGTACTGTCACGACACTCCTTAGCTGATTTGCCCTCGTGCAGTACTCATACTCACCACTGTTTCTGTTTGGCACTGTTCCTGATTTCCTTTTTATTAAGCACTTCACCTGGTCCTTGTTTAGCACCTATTTAGTTTGGGTTCTCCCCTCACTCCTGGCCAGATCATTGCCGTTTGTTTCCTGGTTTCCTGTGTTCCTGGCTCCTGCGTGCTGTGACTTGGTCCTGTGTCCTGTGTCTCCTGGTCTTCATCCTGTGTCCTCCTGGTCCTTCGTTGTTGTGTCCTCTGTTCTGGTTCCGTGGTCCGGGCTTTACTACCAGTTATCCTGTCCCTGCAGACTGCAGATGTCCCTATATTAGTCTTGTGACTCTGGATCTGTGCCCTACCTGTTACTCGTGGTAGCTGCACAATCCTACCCTTATACCCAAGGACTGTTACAGTATTTGTTGCCTGCATGATTAGTACTAATTTTGATTTACTGTATATATTTTGTGGCCTTGTGTGTGTATATATTGTTTTCCTTTGGTTTCCTGTAAATATATATCTCTTGATTTATCCTATTTATTTGTGTCTTGGCATTTATTTCTCTGCTGTATGGGTTCCCACATTTAAAGTGACAGTGCTGTTCCAGGGCAGCACCCCTTCATGTCATTACATCTACAAGGTCAGCAAGACAATAAGAGCCTTCATCAAGAACTCAATGGGCAAGTGGAAAACAACTCTAGAAGCCAATTCCAGGACAAGTGAACATTAAATGTGGCATATACCAAGGTGAATACAAATACAAAAAAAAAAAACAAGTTCTGCGCTCACTCCCATCATTCCTGGGCGGCAGCAACGACCACAGTACACATCAGCCCCAATACATAGAGCAAAAACCAAAGAAAAAAGATACCTGCACTCTCTCATAAATCCCTATGTATATTTAAACAAATGTAGGTCATTTAGTTACACCCCTATATACCAAGGTGCGCTATCCCCAATGCTGTTCTGCATAGGCCTCAACCCCCTTAGCCAGATCATCAAGAGTGGATATGGATACAGGTTCAAGAGTGGAGCTGCCATCAGCCGCCTACTCTACATGGATGACTTCAAGCTGTATGCCAAGAATGAGCGAGACATTGACTCACTGATCCACCTAACTAGGATATACAGCAAGGACATCAGAATGTCGTTTGGACTAGAGAATGTGGGCGCATGATAGCAAAAAGAGGGAAGATGATCAGGACAGAAGGAGTTGAAGTTTCAGAAGGCCAAATAGAAGTTGTAGAGAACAGCTACAAGTACTTGGGGGTACCACAAACGCATGGCAACCATGAGGAAGAGGCAAGGAGGATAGCAACATCCAATTGCCTCCAAAGAGTCAGATAGGTCCTAACACAAATGCCCTACCGGTCATCAGGTGCCCAGCTGGAATAATAACCTGGTAAAGAGAAGAACTGGTCACCATGGATGTCAAGACCAGGAAACTACTCACTATGAATGGAGGATTCCACCCCAAATCCAGCACCTAGAGACTGTACACCTGTCGGAAGGAAGGAGATCGGGGCCTGATTAGTGTCAAGGCCACAGTCCTGGATGAAACACAGAGCATCCACAAGTACATCACAAAGATGGCTCCCAAAGATGAACTGCTGAGTGAATGCCTGAGACTTCCACAGATGAAGGATGCAGAAAAAGAGGAGGTTCCTTGCCAAGACAAACCTCTCCATGGGTGTACCACCGGCAGATAGTGGATGTGGCTCACATGAAAAAATCCTAATGATTGGAAAAGACATGACTGAAAGACAGCACCGAGGCACTAATCCTAGCAGCACAGGAGCAGGCACTCAGCACCAGATCAATAGAAGCTGGAGTCTACCACACCAGGTAATACCCAAGGTGCATACTGTGCAAAGAGGCCTCTAAGACAGTCCAGCACCTAGTAGCAGGATGCAAGATGTTAGCAGGAACAGCATACATGGAGAGACACAACCAAGTTGCTGGGATTGTGTACCAAAACATCTGCACAGAATATGGATTGGACCTGCCTAGGTCCAGATGGGAGATACCACAAAGGGTAGTTGAGAATGACAGGGCTAAGATCCTGTGGGACTTCAAGATCCAGACAGACAAGCAAGTGCTGGCAAACCAACCAGACATCGTGGTGGTAGACAAGGAACGAAAGACTGCAGTCGTGGTGAATGTGGCAATACCCAGTGACTATAACATCAGGAAGAAGGAACATGAGAAGGTGGACAAATACCAAAGACTAAAAGAAGAACTAGAAAGGATGTGGAAAGTGAAGGCAGTAGTAGTCCCAGTTGTGATAGGAGCACTCGGGGCTGTGACTCCCAAGTTTGGGGGTGGCTTCAACAGATTCCAGGTGGGACATCTGAGATCGCTGTCCAGAAGAGTGCAGTTCTAGGAACAGCTAAGATACTGTGCAGAACTCTCAAACTCCCAGGCCTCTGGTAGAGGACCTGAGAATTAGGAATAAACATACCACCCAGGAGGGGTGAGAAAATACATTTTTATATATATATATATATATATATATATATATATACACACACACACACACACACACATTCTAATGTAGAGTAATGTCTCAAGAATACAACAGTACCCCTCAAGTATAGGTTTTATGGTGATTTGGAAAGTTTTGTAAATTGCTATTTGCCAGATTGGCTATGTTGCCTTTGAGACGGTATGGCAGCCCAGAAATGAAAATGAACCCTAATATTAAAACAAACCAGTCTTTTGTATTAGCCACTTAGTCAAAAACACTGGCTAAATGTAGCATTTATATTTGTTTGTGTGTGAAAAATGCAAAAAAGAATATGAACGCTAACTTTGGTCAGTGTTTGTGACTAAGTGGCTACTAGAAAAAACTGGACATACCCTATTTGCAATACCTTGGGTTGTCTACTTTTGCAAATGGTATGCCATCATGGGGATAATTCTTATTCCTGGGCTACCATACGGTCTCAAAGGCAACATTACCAATCTGGCAAATTTAAATTAAAAAAAAAAGAAATGGGCAAGCCTTATATTTGAACCTGTAACTTTCAAAAACACTATAAAACTAGTACATGGGGGGTACTGTTATACTCAGGAGGCTTCGCTGAGCACAAATATTAGTGTTTCAAAACAGTAAAATGTATCATAACAATGATATCACCAGTGAAAGTGTCGTTTGCATGTGAAAAATGCAAATAATTTTACTTTTACTGACAATGTCATCGCTGTGATATGTTTTATGGTTTTGAAACACTAATATTTGTGTTCAGCGAAGTCTCCCGAGTAAAACAGTACCCCCCCATGTACTGGTTTTAGGGTGTCTTGGAAAGAGACAGGGTCAATATAGAGCTTGCCCATTTCCGTTTGCCAGATTGGTTTGATGGGTCCATGTTGCCTTTTGAGACCATATGGTAGCCCAGGAATGTGAATTAACCCTATCATTGCATACCATTTTCAAATGTAGACAATTCAGTGTATTCAAAATATGGTATGTCCAGTTTTTTTCTAGTAGCCACTTAGTCACAAATACTGGCCAAAATCAGCGTTCATATTCGTTTTTTTGCATTTTTCACACACAAACAAATATAGATGCTAACTTTGGCCAGTGTTTGTGACTACTACAAAAGACTGTACATACCCCATTTTGAATACCCTGGTCTGTCTACTTTTTCAAATGGTATGTCATGGTGGGGTTAATTTTTATTTCTGGGCTGCCATACCGTCTCAAAGGCAACATAACTAATTTGGCAAATTTCAATGACAAAAATAGAAAATCTTATGTTTGAGCCTCTAACTTTCAAAATCACCATAAAACCTCTACCTGAGGGGTACTGTTGTACTCGTGAGACATTACTCTACACAAATATAAGTGTTTTAGAGCAGTAAAATCTATTATACTGATAATATCATAGGTGAAATGAAGATATATGTTTTAAAAATGAAAAAAACAAAACTAATATAAATGCAAATTTTGGCCAGGGTTTGTGACTAAGTGGCTTCTGAAACAGTGGACATACCCCAATACTGTGGGTTATCTACCTTAAAAAAATATATGGTTTGATGGGGGTAAATTACATTGGCCAGCTTAAATAATTTCCCAAATAGGACATGGGTGCATGATGACCAGCTATGAAAATTCCAAGTTGGAAAACTTGAATGCTCAGCCTCCAAATAAGGTCTTTTAACCCCCCCGAGAACCTGACACACATATCCATGGGTGGTATCACTGTACTCAGGAGATGTTGCTGAACACATATTGGGGTGTGTTTGGCAGTAACCCTTAAAGTTCTAATTTTTTCATCATATTTTATTTAAAAAAATTATAGTAAATCATTAGATATGATGAAAATAATTGTATCTTTAGAAAGACCATTTAAAGGACCACTCTAGGCACCCAGACCACTTCAGCTTAATGAAGTGGTCTGGGTGCCAGGTCCAGCTAGGGTTAACCCATTCTTTTATAAACATAGCAGTTTCAGAGAAACTGCTATGTTTATGAATGGGTTAAGCCTTCCCCCAAAGCCTCTAGCGGCTGTCTCATTGAAAATCACAGTGAGAGCACGCCAGCGTCCATAGGAAAGCATTGTAAATGCTTTCCTATGCGACCGGCTGAATGCGCGCCCAGCTCTTGCCGCGTGTGCGCATTCAGCCGACGGGGAGGAACGGAGGAGGAGAGGAGGAGGAGAGCTCCCCGCCCAGCGCTGGAAAATGGTACGTTTTAAACCCTTTTCCCCCTTCCAGAGCCGGGCAGGAGGGGGTCCCTGGAATCACAACCTTTGGATATAAAAACAGCACTTGGTCAATTGTCATGTAAGCAAATTAGCCATAGGTTTATTTCCTAAAGTGTGAATTGCCATGAATTAAAGGTGAATTTCAAATTATAGAACAAAATAGCAAAACTAGACAAACAAATTCTCCATGTTGACCGTATATTTTCAGTTCAGCTATTTGTGCCTGAAATGTAAAATTATCTTTGAATTCACTTTAAATTAAATTCCCCAATGGTTCAATCTTTTGTCAATAACCTTGCTTGTAAGTCAATGCATAATTCAGGCCACAATATCCACACTGTAAACGGAGATGCACAGTTTATCCAGCTTAGCTGTTCTGACACAACATTTACAGTTGCCAGCCCTCCAGAAAAACTTCGTTTAGTGAACAAACCAAGGTTAAAATCAGTCTGCAACCGAATTTTAATCTTAAAAATGTCAGCGCTAGCCATTGCTTGCTTAACATAATATCACTAAATGGTTATCGAAGGAAATTTTAGCTGCCGTAACTGATTTCCAGATAATTGTGTTGTGAAGATAAGTCGGATTTGTATTATTTGCTAATACATTAAATATAATCTTTGCATTCATAGGGCTATTCTTATGGCTAGTAATGTTTATGTGCTTCCAATCTAAACATAAACCTTATTAGCATTAATGCTTAGCAGAGAATTCTTCTCAAGACGGAGAAGTTTAACCCACACCCATGTTTTAATTCTGGAAATAAATCTGCATTCTCCCCACCCATATGCTGGTATGTCCTCACGCTGCATATATTGGAAGTGTGCTGGGGAACCACACCTAAATCCGGGTTTAAAATAAGGGAGAAATAATGTGAACCCTTTGCTTCTGACGCTTTTCATGAATCAGGATCTAAAGTTTCCTAGTCACTCTCTCCAGATATAATTGCAAGTGGGAGTCAAGAATGTTGAGTGCAACGAGACTTTAAAAGTAAAATCTTATAATTAGTTCTGTGTACTATAAAATTAATGGTAACTTGTGCACGATGATACGCCATGTCTTTTATGAGGACTGTTTGCAAGGAGCGTTGTTACTATAATGGTAAGTTGGAAACACTGATATTGAACACAAACACATTGATAAATTATTTTTACTAATTGTTTCTTGACAAAGACTAAAATGGTTAAATCTTTCTATAAGGGCTTCTGTGTTGGGATGACATTTTGCAAAACCATCCAGGACTCGGAGGTGCAAACCTCACTTGGTACCCCTGTTTGCCAACATAGAATGTTTTCACCAGTGTCCTATGGAACAACCTGCCCACGCCCATCAGACTCTCCCATAGTCTTCAATCATTCAAGAAGTCCCTCAAAACCAATCTCCTCTGAAAAACTTATGTTCTCCCAGAGTAACTTTCATTTTACAAACCTATCTCTTGCTCTCTTTTAATTGCCATGCTCCACTCTCACCTTCCGGTTCTCATACTTTCCCTTGTCGTTCGGTTGCTATCCCCCTTGATGCCCTTCCTATTGTGTTTTTAAACCCCACCTGCTGTAGACTGTAAGCTTGTTTGAACATGATCCTCATCAACCTATTGTTCCTGTAACATTTTGTACTTGTCTCATTCATTGTTAAATTTCCCCTTTTATAATATTGTAAAGCACTGTGGAATATGTTGGCACTATATAAATGTCAAAAATAATAATGATTGTCCTTCTTTTAGCTTTTAAGTGCATTCATTGTGTTTCTTTATACCAAGGATAGGCAACATTCAGCAGTCCAGATGTTGTGGACTACATTTCCCAAAATGTATTGTCTTTTCATCTTTTTATATATTTTATATCTGTATGATGCAAAATTACCTAAGGACCTAACAGCACCTTGAGATGTTATCAGGCTCAACTTTAGAATGGTAATTCTATGGGTATTGGAAGGAATCCCCTCTAAAAAAAACGGAAGAAGCACTACTGGTTGTAGTGTATTTTATGCCCCGATAATGTAAACTGTGTTATACAGAGAGAAAGAAGTAAATTAAACCAACGGTATTACCAGACCCTTGAGTAACTGGTCAAATCTAATGGGGTTTTATTGTCACAGCTTACCTTGCCTGGCACTCCCGTGGCATGCTGGGGCCTCTGGTGCCTGCTTCTCCTCTCCTCTCCTCCTCCTGGTTCTAGCGTGGTGTTTGGTGTCGGGCTCCCTGAGTGGGGGGGAGCGGGAGGAGGAGGGCTGTTCAGTAATTAAAGGGTCTGCAGCATGGCGCTTAGCCCCTGCTTCCCTTATATAGCTGGGGGAACTCTGTCACATGACTGGCCTCCCCTGTAAATAGCCAAGCACTGCACTTGGTCAGTGGTTGGTAGTTCTTGTCCTTGCTTCCAGTCTCCTGGCATTTTGCTTCCTGTGTTCCTAATCCTGGTCCTTGTCCATGTTCCTTGATACTGGTCTGAATTTCTTGATACTGGTCCGTGTTAATGATCTTGGTCTGTGTTCTTGATCTTGGCCCATGTTGCTGAATTCCCGGTAAAACTGCTTGGCTTCTGACCTATGGCTTGACCCTGATCTTGCTTCTTTTCTCTGACCCTTGGCTTCTGACATCCTGCTACCTATTTGTGGATCTCCTGGCTTCTGACCTTTGGCTTGACCCTTGACTTTGCTTCCAGCCCTGACCATTGGACCACCTGACACCACTTCCTGCCTGCTCCTTTCTGGCTTCTCCGCTTCCTCTGTAAATAGAGGCACCTGTGCTTTCACAGATCTCCCAGGTTCCTGTATCACTCTCAGGCACCTGGGAGGGTTGTGTTTGCAAGGGGTTTGTCACCAGGTATAACCCCAACGTGCCGCGTTTAAGATAGCAAAGAAGTGACAAAGGAAATAAACATTACCGGGCCTTAGAGTGGCCTGACTTAACGTTAGACAAAGAGTAAAGCGTAAAAGGTAACAGAGAGCAGCGAAAACTAGAACTAGCCAGAGTCAGGTACATGGTAAACAGTCAGACAAGCAAACAAGACAAGCAAGGGTTAAATATAAACTCAGAACAGAAACACACAATAGTGCCAGGTAAGTGTAACTACTATTGGGTTTTATTTGATTGATCTACGTCATGCCTCCGACCCCAAAACATGCGTGCTTGTAATGCGAGCAGCGTTCCTAATACTGTACGTACTGCGCACCTGATCATAACGTTCAGTGTGAGGCTTGAGCGAAGGACCCCGTCTGGCACAAGGACCAGGTGAGTACCGTAACAGGGTTGATGTTCCACTGCAACTGAATTCCACTCCAAACAAACCAAAGTATTCAGCCATGTAATATGAAAAATATAGACGTTTATTGCAGAAGATACAAGAAACATTGATGTCTCAGTCCCCACACAGTTCTCCCAGCTGTCTCATTGTATTTACCTGAACCTCATTGACGTCTGAAACCTTTTCCCTTTCAAAGGTGATTTTAGTTTTGGGAAAAGCCAGAAGTCGCAGGGCGCGAAATCTTTCAACAGATTCTCAATCATTGTGAAAGCATTTGTGCCACAATTTGATGCAGATTTGTTACTCTACTCACTCACAGCCACAGGTAAATAAACATTAACCATGGAGAAACTAGGGTCAAAGAAAACCAGAATGGAAAATAGTCTAAAGAGTCAAATCAGGAAACCAGAATATAGACTTGCCAAATGGTGAGCCATGTCAAACCAGAACACTTAATTCATAAGGAACTGAATAGCTGACCAATTACCACACAAGTTACGCTAATAACACTGTATTATGGAATAAACAAACAGAGGAAGCAGACAACAGTACAGTCAAAAAATATCTTTTAATTCACAGGATGTGATTTCCTTTCTGAGAATCTTTGTGGACCCTAATTCTAATTGCTTGTTTGGTACTCACAAAATATGGTATGTTACAGACAGATACTAACGAATGGACTACCGGGCCAACACAAGGGACTAGATCACTGAAAATTCCATTCGTAGTGATGACATCACTCCAGTATTCCACAAAAAGTTGCAGGTACGCCTCCGCACAATGTGAGATGGGGACATGAAAGTCGCTGTTGGGATAAATAGAACAAGATGGCAATGTCTGTCATTGAGAACAATGCTTGACCCTGATGTCCATCCTAGACCGCTAATGTCCATTCCTAGAATAAGCAGTGGATCAGATGCGGTGAAAACTAGTGCACACATTGCACCGATTCCAGGACTGTAAAAAACAGATAACAATCAAACCTGACACTTCACTTGTCCCTCTACAGTAAAAAGGACTGACAATCAAAATTACTTAACAGCTATTTTTCATGATAATTTCCCTTTGAAATGTCTGGTAACTATGTCTTTTTCACTTGCACTTTTCACTTTTTTTAGTATAGAGGGGGGGGGAGGACTTGTAAATACAAAGTGGTTTATAGGTTTTGGGGACTCAAACACTGTGAACCTCATAAGATTATCATGTCTGCAGCTTTATTTACAGTATACATATATTTCCAAAACATTTATTTTTTCAAGATTAATTAAAGTATAATGGTTATATGTGTCTGGGTCAGTGAAGATTTATACTAAATAGAGGAATACTGTAACATTCAATTCAACAAAATAAAAATAAGAAATTAAATTTAGAGTTTCTCTACTCTGGTTAATGCCCCCATAAAACAAAATTTATTTTACTAACCTTTTGGCCAGCATCCGTCTCCTTTGAGCAGCCACTCCTCTTAGGAGAACATCCCTTTGGGTGATCTCTGGTCCATCCAATGCTTTTCATTGAGTAGTACTGGGGACCTATTGGGCATTCATAGAAACATAGAAACATAGAATGTGACGGCAGATAAGAACCATTCGGCCCATCTAGTCTGCCCAATTTTCTAAATACTTTCATTAGTCCCTGGCCTTATCTTATAGTTAGATAGCCTTATGCCTATCCCACGCATGCTTAAACTCCTTTACTGTGTTAACCTCTACCACTTCAGCTGGAAGGCTATTCCATGCATCCACTACCCTCTCAGTAAAGTAATACTTCCTGATACTTCCTGATATTATTATGTGCGATTACCAAATTCTAACGTAGCCCAAACGGACTCTATGTTTGCCTCACTAACTTTTATTAGGCTAGATTTTATGCTATCCTTCACATACAAGGCCATTCAAGGTAGTTGCTGTACACAGCCAATCTGATGCTTCTCGTAGAGAATAAATATATATATTTTTACAAAGTATTAAATCCCCTTTATTATTGCTGCTGTGTGTTTAATTTGATTATGACTTTCTTTATTCTCTTTACTTTTATTTTCCTTAAAGGGACACTATAGTCACTAGAACAACTACAGCTTATTGTATTTGTTCTGGTAAGTAGAATCATTACATTCAGGCTTTTTGCAGAAAACACTGTATTTTCAGAGAAAAGGCAGTGTTTACTTTAAAGACTAGGGACACCTCCAGTGGCCACTCCTCAGATGAATGCTAGATGTGCTTCCTGGGTCAGTGGTGCACAATGTGCAGCACTTCCATACAGTCATTCAGCGTCTCCATCCTCTGCATGGAGACACTAAACTTTCCTCATAGAGATGCATTTATTCAATGCATCTCTATGAGGAGATGCTGTGATCATCAGAATTGACAATCTCAGCCAATCCAATGCTTTCCTATGTGAAATCATTTTGTTTGGCTGAGATCATCACTTCTGATGATGTCAGCCAAGGAGGCAGATCAGGGGCAGAGTGCCAGTAGACTGTAATAAAGTCAGCATCAGCAGACTGTAATAAAGTTAAGATTTCACTATATTTAGCGGGGCAAGGTGGGCCAGGGGGAGTTGTTTTTAACACTATAGGGTCATGAATACATGTTTGTGTTCCTGACCCTATAGTGTTCCTTTAATTAAACTTAAGGCCATTTTAGATAGTCGCTGTTCCTTTTTGTGTGTTAGTGTAAATGAATAAATAAATACATTTGTTTATGAAAGCTGTACTTTTATACATACCTTCTCATCAAAGGTCTCTTCCGGCATTGCATCATTATTTCCCTAATAAAATGTTATTTAGGAAAAAGTACAAATAATATTTTGGACTTTCTTTTACAAAAATCCAACATGCATATACCTCCCTCATTTGTTTAGTAATCAAATGTATTCCCAACTGGAGAGTTTTTATACAAGAATAAGATGACATGGTTAGGCAGGAAATGGGGACAGAGAGATCCATCAGTTAATTTCCATGATGCCAATCTAATAACCCACATGATCCTACATGGCGTGATATTTTGAAGTCCTGCATTTTATTTTTATAACATATACTTTTTTTCCTGATAATCTTGGAAATATATTTGTTCCTTTATTTGTGATTAATTTGTACCATTTGTTTATTTCAATAGTTAGCGTAACACTCCACTCTGGACTTGGTCCTCTTTATTTCAGTACAAAAGATCCTCACCTTTAAAGTTCCATATTCCAATGGTTGTCAGTTTACTTCATTGGACTCTGCTCAGTCCAAACCAACCAATCATAACGTTTTCATTGCTTTCAGTGGGAGTTGTGCATATATCATAAACTGTTGCCCGCCTGGAGCTTATGGGATATGTAGTTCAGAACTTAGCAGCAGTAACAATTATCAGTGAATGTAAATGAAACTGCTGATGATTGCCGATAGCAGCTACACATATATTTTTCATAAATATAAAATAAAATAGGAATAATATCTAACGGAGGATGTTCCTATGGATTGTCACTGATTCTCAAATGTGGCTACTTTAAATGGGTGAAAAATGCTTTTAAGTGTTGCCAAAGGTCACATGGAAATAAAAATCATCTTGGAACTATTGATCAGTGTCTGTCTCTATGTATTTATTGATTTATTAAATAATTCTACACTTTCGACATCTGTAAGCAGAATAACATATAAGAAATCATATCAGAAATATGTTTGGTATTCCATGATAAAAGAGCAATAAAAGGTTTAATAACAAACCTTCTCTGTAAGAAAGACAATAAGAACACGACTTAGCAAACCTGATTCGTGAGGAACGTTATCTACAGACAAAGCCCTTCTGGACTTGAGCAAGTGATAGAAGAAACGGTCATAAAATAACACGTTATTCTATAGGCTACCTTCCCAAACACAATGTATAAAACATACAACAAAAATTATTTATTAACAGAATTTTTCAGGAAGGTTGGAGTCTGGCAATAACAGAACAAGTCTCTGGAAATATTAAATAAAAGATTCATAGAGGCTACTTATTCCTCGCAATGCAATGGGATAGGCCCTGATAATTATCTATCTATGCACTGAGCCAGTGTTTAGCTCTGTTCGTTAAAAAATTACCAATAGTGCATTATATCACATTGACTCATGGAGAGAAATGCCATTTGGAAAGTGAAGATATTGAATATTTAGACTTACACCGTAGGGGAAAGTGCCTGCATCGCTATTTCCCAGTGTGGGTAATAACCTGTGTGTGTTTATTACAGCGTTTCTGCTTTAATGTACATATTAACCCAATCATAGTACATCCATGTGGTAGACAAATAGTAATTTCAGGTCAAATGAGGCAGCCTGGGAAAATGGTCCCTGCTTTGGAAATACCTTCTTAGAACTCTTGAAGAAAAGGAAAA